AAAAAAAATAAATAAATATAAATCTATCCAGACACATGGAGCCCATGGATAGAGTGAGTTTGATTGTGGTTGATGAGAAGTGTAAATATAAGTGTAAAAAGTGTAAATATTTACCATTCTGACATCCTATTGGATTGAACTCACTCCATCACACCTGTGTAYTAGTTTCCCTTCACTGCTACGTCTAGAATTTCTCCCATWGACAAGGATTTCTCTGGCAGATTTTTAACCGYGCCAAACAGAGAACAGAACGTCAATTTTCTGCGCAGTGTCTGTGTGTAGTTTATTTTACCTGGGCCAATCAGAGAACAGAAGGAAGYGCTTTGAATGARGWMGATTTTCTGCGCAGTGTCTGCTAGTTATTTTAGCATACGACAGTGGAGGGAGTGAATGAAGCCAGTCTGTGTTGATAAGGCTTCCAAATTAAATTAAATTTGTCTGACAAAGCAGCAGCTCTCATTTAGTCGTCTCGTTCGGGTTGGTACATTTCTCCTCTCAGTAGGGTTGTTTACAGTACACGCAATTTCTTGTTAGCTTCTTAGCTTAGCCTCCTTCACAACGACATACATCGCGGCCAACCGATCCAATCATTTTAAACTTCAGCAGAGGCCACGCCTCCTGCAAGAATCGCTTCTCTATAGCTGCGAGTCCAGACCCTTGTACGAAGCAAAGTGAAGGACAGGATCTGATTTTTACCAGGCTAACTGTAGTCATCAGTTAATTCCAAAATTTTCAACATTTTAATTTAACATTATACTCATTATTGACTTTAGAAGAAAAATTGTGTATGTGTGTGTGTGTGTGGGGGGGCGGGGGGATGCTATAAACCCTGTGGCACAGCCTAAGATTTTATCTTTAATGGCCTTTTTTATAGTGTTCATTACACTTTTACTTTTATACTTTAAGTAGTTTTAAAACTAGTACTTTTATACTTTTACTTGAGTAAAAAGCTCGAGTTGATACTTCTACTTCCAAAAAAGTATTTTTAAACCCTGGTATCTATATTTCTACTTAAGTAATGAATGATAGTACTTTTGACACCTCTGATTAGAAGAAACAACTTATTCTGAGCTGAGTCACTGAATCTTGCACGTTTTATTTATAATGAGCTGCATGTGCRGTTATCTTTCTCCTGTCATCCCAGCTGCAGGGCATGCAGTCTCAATGTAACAAATCTGCTTCCACTAAGGCTATTTAACGAAAATGAAATTGAAGTTAACTTTTTTAAAGTCTGGTTTTCTAAAYCAAATAGTAAATAGTTGTTCAGCTGCTTAYTGATGAGGAGTGTTTAACCTGTCAGTGTTTATTGTTGAACTAGTCAACACAAGGTTATGAGAAGCTGAGACAGCTCACTTTTCCAGACATGTGGAATAACTTTCAACATGAGTCATGAGTCAAATTTCTTTTTACATGACATGATCATACAATGCTTCTTTTATTTATTTTTTGTATCTGTGCTTTGTGTTTTTGGTATTCATCATTGTACAAAACTGCAAACATGCCTCTAGTTGTTTTACTTACAATGGGTTTTCTGTGGTGCTCTCTCCCCAAAGCCTGTAAAACAATAAGAAAGAATTACTATGAATAGAACATTTGTGACATGCCATCCTTCCTTGAAATTTCATGGCTTAAGTAAAACATACTGATTTTTTTCCAGAGCTTTTGGCTTCTTTTCATCTTTTTTTGGCAATCAAAAACCAGATATTTAATCATTCCTGCTTGCTAACATWTATTAAAAGTTACTGCCTTATTTAGGTGTTTTAGTCCAATTTTGAGATACCATTTCAGCAGACTGATGAACATTAAAAGGTCACACTGGTGTACTACTACCTGTTAACATCTGCCTGTTTGCTGTGCAAAATGTAAACTGTCATCAAATGAATAGAAATGACCATAACACAGCAACCATCTGTTTACCTGTGCTTGAATCTGTACCTGTGTTGTCCTGCGTAGTCAGATTCTGCCAGAGGCGATCAGATAAGCGCCTCGCCACATACTGTACACTCGTCCTGTTAATGCCTGTCCCTGAAGATGAAATCTTAACACACATTTGCTCTGGCTGGCTGACTGTGGCATAACCCCTCAGTGCATGTCTGAGATTCCTAAAATTATAAGATAACATCCTAGTGGTAAACTTGTGCACAAAAATTGTCTTTCTATATTATATATGGCCTAAAAGTATTTTTGATCTTATTTTGAGACTGCTAAACTTAGCAAGAYCAGAATGTTTTAGATTATTAATCTTCTTAGTCAGGAAATATTCCTTATTTCAAGAATTGCATTTGTCTTATTCCTTTCTCAAAACAAGATAAAAATATATTWTTGGCTGGATAAGATTAAAAGACTTGGTTAGAATGACAATTTATAGGCGTAACTGTAAGCATACAATCTAGTTGTTTCACTAATTGTATTTACACTGAACCTGATATTCCACCTGCAAACAATGACATTAATGTTCAGGGCTGTGAACTGGAGAGCAGGTCTTCCGTAGCTTCAGCTCTACCCTGACAGGCTAAGAACACAATCTTAAATATTTGTTCCTTTTATCCAGCTAAAAARAGCTTTGCCCTCCTTATGATAAAGACACACCTTCATGCTTTGTTTTTTAGTCCATTAGACTACATGCCACATCCATAAAACGTAACTGACATGTCAAGAAAGACTAAAACACAAACACAGCCAGAGGGCAGCATGAGGAGCATCCTGCTGAGGCTGCTGGGTAATTAAACACCACACAGTAAATGCAAATTTTGCTCTCATATCCTAAAGTGGGTCATTCTATCATATAAACAAAATGTTATAYTTTGTATGTACAGTAGATCGTATGAAAGGTTCTGTGAAACAAAGTAAGAGAGTTACACAATTGAGGTTTGWCATGTTGATATTCTCATCAATTTTCTCTTCAGCCTAGCTGTCTGTTTTAAGCCTGTTTTGACAACCTTCATTCTTTTCTGCCTTAGAGAGTTGAATACTCAGCACCCTCTGAGTGTCAGGTTGATCTCATTTTGGCCGTGCTGGCAGAGCCTAAATTAATTTTGTTGTGAGTACGCATCTCACAAGTCTTATTTTTTCTTTTAAACTTCATTAGGAAACAAACAGATATTATAACATACAACTAAATGCATGCAAGGAGCAATCTATCTTGAAAACAAGATAAAAAATGCTAAAAATGTCATTAACACAGGTTTATTATTTAGCTCATTCACTGAGAGTAAAATATGATTAAAAATCAATAATATTTAGTTTTGTTTAGCTTGCTTTGCTAATTTCTGCCAAATATTAAATTTAAATGTTAAATTGTAGGTCTAAATGTTAAATTTTTTTATCTAAATGTGTAAATCTAAATGTAAACGTTATATGCAAATGTTGTGGCTAAATGTTAAAGTTCTTATTGAAACATTTCAAAATGGAACACAGCCTTTTCTGTGAGTGTGCAGCTTTAGTTATYATTTCATCATCCACGTGACAAAAGCTAATGCTGCTAATGACACTGTTAGCACTTCCCTACAAGACACCAAACTTGTGTTTGTGACTGTTGTCTGAGCTATACTTCAAGCTGTCACAAACCGTCCATATTGTTTTCAATTAACACATTTTTAKTTCAAATTCTAAATGCCGTCTTCAGCAGCATTAGAAGTTACTTTTGTCGCAGTATAATGACATCACAACTAATCCTGCACACCGACAACAAAGGCTATTCTGGAATTCGTAAACGTAAGCTTTCTCATTTAGCTGCAACTTTTAAGATTTAATCTTTACATTTCGATTTAGGATTTAATATTAAACAATATTATTTAATATTGAAATTTAATGTTTAATAAAAATTTGTAAAATGTAACAACAGTGAGGTGAATGATAAAATGTTAAAAAAATTTTAAACTAGGGATTTTCCCTCAGAAAGTGAGCTAAATAATCAAAATGTGTTAGTGACATTTTTAATTAATTTATTTTACACTTGGTGCTTGATAATTCTAGGATGACTACAACTTTTTGAGGCATGAAAACAACACCATGTACTATTATCCCACCATCTGCAGGATTTTTTAACGCAATATATTTAAAATATAATTTGCACTGTTTTCAAATTCCTGTCTAACTCCTTCAAAGTGTTGTTTTCACTCTGCGAATCGTACCTCGACTTCCTGGATGGCGTGCACGTGGACGCCACAGCTCTTGCCGCGCTCCACAGCATCACATCCAAAGGCATCCATCAGGATGATTCTCTGCAGCCTGGGAGTTTCTTTCCGCTCCACGTTTTCCAAAAGCACCTGAGCTTTCTCCACTTTGTCGCAGATTACTGTGGAGATGTCAGCTGAAATAAAGGAAACACACAGCCTTACGTGAAAACTAGCAAAAAGAAAAAGAAAAGAATGGAAAACATGCCAAGTTGGAAATTGAATTCTCCTACCAGTGTTAATAATGAACCGTATAGCATCTGCACCAAGCGTGTCATAGAGAGGAACCACCACCATGGAGTAGGTGTAGCACGCCAGCTCAGAGATGATCCACTGAAAGAACATAGTAACGTCGCTTAAACAGGCTGATGAGACAAATCAGAACAGATACATGTAAAATTTTAAAACAGGAGGAGTTACCTCAGGCCTGTTCTGAGCAAACACTCCGATGAACTGGTTGGGGTTTGGCTGGCAACCCTGGTGCAGAAGGCCCGAGCCCAGATGTTCTGCCCGGGCTGACACCTGCAATGYAGATGACAGAGATTTATCAATAAAAATCAAGCTACATAAAATGCAAATGCTCTTTCACAACTGAGAGAATAAACCAAAAATCATTTTTTGACTTCTATTTAATTTTAATTACTGATGACTTTTTGGACTGCATCTTTATTTAACTGTTCTTTAACAATGAGATGTAATCTGTGATCATGTGTCTATTTTGAACCTGTTTTGAATTCTGGTGAATTACATGGAAAATCTCAACTATTACACAAAAAGTTGCCACAATTGTGAAAAAAACACCAGCGAGTTGAGAAAAGGCCTATTGCACTGGCAGCAAAGATGAATCATGTCTTACATGTTTCATCAGAATTTTCCAATTTTTTTCTTGTTTGCATTAGTAGCAAAATTATTCTTTTTGAACGAGGGAGTTTCTATTTTAAGT